ATAGAGATACCCCCCCAGAGGATCCGCAGTTTGCCCTCGCATAACATCGCGAACGCCTGATCGCTATGTAACACGTGCCTAGGAATCGGCAGGCGACCCTGCCGCAGGACCGTCATGGCCCTTGTCTGCCGAGCGATGCCCAAAAGTCGTAGAAGATGTGCTCGAGGGTCAAGCCCCCCCAGGACCCGCACAGATCCCATGTCCACCGCCTGCCGAAGTCCCCGAAGCTCGACCCCCAAATGGGAGGTGCACGGTTTCCCCCGGGGCCGTAGGCGACCCGAGGAGGAGGAGGAGGAGGAGGAGGAGGAGGAGGAAGAGGAGGAAGAGGAGGAAGAGGAGGGGGAGGAGGAGGAGGAGGAGGAGGAGGAGGAGGAGGAGGAGGAGGAGGAGGAGGAGGAGGAGGAGGAGGAGGGGCGGCCGCGCCTCGCAGGCCGCCCCATTGGATCCAGGTCTGGATCCTGTGCTCTCGTGCGAAGAGCGCGACCGCACATCCGGGCGCGCCTGTGCCCCAATTACCCCCGTCTGCGGACGTCGGCAGGATGGGGAACCTGGAAGGGGGCAGAGGGCCTTGCACATCGTACCCGCGCAGGGTTCCATCACCCCGAGCCAAAGTGGCTGTCCACAGAGACAGAGACAGAGAGAGAGAGAGGCAACAGAACGAAGTCACGAACGGAGAACTGGGGAAACCAAAAGGTACCGATACCGCTACTGCTCAGACCTCTCCAGGGGTGCGCTCTGACAAGAATGCTGAGGCGAATTCAGCCGCGGCGACGAGGACCTCCCAGGAGGCCCAAAAGAGGAAAACGAGGGAAAGGTAGCGGTATGGGTACCTTCTCCTTCCCTGGACATGGGCCGCAGAAGGACAGACTAGCACCACGTGCCCTCCTCGGAGGCGTGCGTCCGACCCGAACACCATCCTGTAGTACATCGTTCCCCGAGCGGTATGGCCAGGAAACGCCCGTCACGCGGCTTGCACAGCAGAGCTTTCTCGGCGCGGGCGCCGCCCCTTCGGAGGCGACGCACAGACCGATTCGGTATGTTTCGGTGGCGCCGAGTCTTCTTCCCAGAAAGAGAAAAGAAAAAAAACATATCCTGGCGAAAAAAACAACCATGCGTAATTGTGAACACCGCGTCGCGGTCCCGCTTTCGGTGGAGCTCCGTATGGGGCCACGAACCGTGTGTGGGGGTGTGCCAAAATGGGCGCCGGGCGCATACGGCCTGTGCAACTGGGGCAGTCGATGGAACTCCCTGTGGGGCAACGAACCGTGTGAGGGGTGCGCCGAAATGGGTAGCGTTGACGCATGCGGACCCTGCCACTAAAGCCTTCGGTGGAGCTCCCTGTGGGACCACGTGTGAAGGGTGTGCCAAAATGGGTGACAGTCCCCGCATGCGGATCCTGCCGCTGGGGCCTTCGGTGGAGCTCATCCCTGTGAGGCCACGATCCTCGTGAGGCATGTGCCAAAATGAGTGGCGGTCCCCGCATGCGGACCCTGCCGCTGGGGCCTTCGGTGGAGCTCCCTGTTTGGCCACGATCCTCGTGAAGGATGTGCCAAAATGGGAGGCGGTCCCCGCATGCGGACCCTGCCGCTGGGGCCTTCGGGCCCCCTGTGGGGCCACGATCCTCCTGAGGGGTGTGCCAAAATGGGTGGCGGTTCCCGCATGCGGACCCTGCCGCTGGAGCCTTCAATGGAGCTCCCTGTGGGGCCACGATCCTCGTGAGGCATGTGCCAATATGGGTGGCGGTCCCCGCATCCAGACCCTGCCGCTTTGGCATTCGGTGGAGCTCCCCGTGGGGCCACGAACCGTGTGAGGGGTGTGCCAGAATGGGATGGGTATGCGGAGAGCAGAGGCAAGGGATGGGACGAGGGAGGAGGAGGAGGAGGAGGAGGAGGAGAGGAGAGGAGGAGACGCGGGGCGCTGTCTCTTCAACACGAGGACCCAACACCACAGGATGGTTGGGAAAAAAGGGGAAGGAGAGACCTCCAGCTCCAGGGGCTCTCGGGCCCCCGAGGGGGAGCCCCCAGGCGCTCTTCGAGCAGGGGAACGACCGCCGAACTGATCTACGCCAGACTCATTTGCTCGCCGATCTCTGCGAGGAGTGCGTAGAGTGTTCGTGGATCTACGGAACTGCTACGCACGACCCGACGAGGACGATCAACTTGGGGAAGAAACGGTCCGGCAGTCGATCCCCCCCTCGAGCTCTGGGGGACAGGGGCAGGGCGGCGCGCGGGCACCCCGCCCCGACCGCCCACGGCCCCCGAGGGCGGGCTCAGCGGTGGACCATTCGAGCACGGAACGCGGGCACGCCCGCGGCCCGTCCACGTGGCCTTCCCCCCCCCCCTCCCCTCGGCGGCGAGCAGGAGGGGCAAGTTTCGCGTTCGAGGCCCGAGGTTTTCGGACGTTTTTGTCGGTTCTCGGCGGTTTTCCAGCCTCGGGATGCTTGCCAGCAGCTGCGACTCGCCGAAGGCGTTCCGGGGATGCCCGGATCGTCCCAAACGGCCGCCAGAGACCCGAGTTATGAGCCAAAAACCAAAGTCGGTGGCGAGCGAGAGGGGGGAAGTGAGAAGGAGAAGGCCTTCTCAGAAGGCGGCGGGCCTTCTCAGAAGGCCTCGAAAACTTCTCAGAAATCCTGGGGACTTCCGAGCCTTCTTGAGAAAACCCGCCCCTTCTCGCTTCCCCCCTGGGCTAGCCGCCGATGCTCTCGCTGCGGAAAACACTCACTACGGGAGGTGTCGAGCCATTCTCAGCCTCCGGGGGGCCCTCACACCAGGCACCGGGGCCGCCCGAAGACGGCTCGGGCTGGAGGGCCGAGCCTTGGGCAAGGGGTCCAGGTCTCCAGGGGCCAGCCTTGTGAAAGAGCCACGGCGTCGGAGTGCTGTCGGCGGTGGGGCGGTGGACAAACCTCCCTTCAACGAATCTCCCCAGGGTAGGAGGTCTATCGACCTCCGATGCCGGGCTCCTGGGAGAGCAGCGGAGAGCACTGGCCCTGCAGTCCGCCCGGCAGAGTCTGCGGCGCCTCTTCCTGGGACACCCGCGCCCTCCACGTGGCTCTCGACCTGGAGCTCCCTGATCCCTGCTCTCAAGTGGCGGCTCGACCCCCCTCGTGCCTCAGACCCCGCGCCCCTCGGCGCCGAGTCTCAGGGGTGCACGGCTTCGACACTGGCTTTGTGTTGTTCCCATCATGCTTGAGGACCGCATCCCAGAAATACTTTCGAGTACCCAAAAACATCGAAAAAGTGTCGAACGAGTACCGCCTGCCAGGGCCCGACACGTGAAAACCCTTTAGCTTCAGCACTCTCCTGGTGCTCGAAATTCTTTCTGGTGATCAACGCTAAGGTGGGCTTAGGTCGGGCATGTCCCCCTGCAGGCGGATTTCGGACGAAAAATTGAAAATATTCCAAAAAAATGACCCCATAACAACAACAAATACTCAAAAAACGTCCCCAGACTATGTTCTGACTATTTCTGAATATTCCTCCTGTAGAGAGAGACACGCCCGACTTAAAGGTAGGCTGGAACATCACGACAGTGGACACCAGCTCTGAGCATCGCCGAAGGCACCCTTCGAGGTGCCTCGGTCTTCGAGGGGACGGGCTCACACCCCTCGCCAGAGCAGCAGGCCCTCATGAGACCCCCAAGAGGCCCCCAAGCCTAGGTCGGGCGTGTCCCCCTACAAGCGGATTTGGGGCGAAGGGCCAAAACATGATCGAAAAATCGTCCCCTGACTATTCTCTGACTATTTTTGGATTTTCCTCCTGTAGAGGGACAATCCCGACTTAACCCCAAGCCCTCCGTCATTGGACAGGCGCCAGCTATAGAGGCCTCCCAGATGGGTGTCCCGAGCAGGTGGGGTCGGACGATCGCGCCGCACCGGCGATGCATCTGCGATACATCGTTGATTCGGGGGGAACGAAAGAAAGGAGGGGATCGCAAAGGGTGGGGGTAGAGAATCAGCTCACGTGGCTGATTTCCCGGCGCGGGGAGGCGCTGGGAAAATGGGCCTGGCGGCGGGGCCCGGCGGCGAGGACGAAACCAGCTGCATGCAGCAGATTTCGTAACCCTCCCTTTCCCTCTCCCCCCCCTTTCGTTCGGCGCGATTGATGCATCGGCGATGTCGGCGATGCATCGGCGACGTCCGCGTGGAGTAAAATCGGGCTCCACTTCGAGCCGCATCGCCTATGCATCGGCGACGCGGCGCGATCCTCTGACCCCGTCTCCTCGGACCCCATCCGGGAGGCCTAGAAGCTATACACGCTCACACCGAGCCTGGCCAGGTCCATAGTGCGTCCAGGATCGCGCATACGCCCTCCTGGCCGACTACCTCCCAAACCACCCCAACCCAACCCGAAGACCCGAATTTGACCCGAATTCCGGGTTGGGGGGGGTACGGGTTCCACGTGTCTTTTCTACGTTCCCCGACCCCCCCCCCGCTGGAAATGGAGGGCAAAGCGTGGCCTTCGGGTTGGGTTGGGGTGGTCTGGTGGGCGGTGACTGGCCTGGCCAGGAAGGCATCCGCACCGATCCTGGACCCGGGATCGGCCTGGCCAGGACCGGCGTCAGCGCACCCCGCCTCCCGACGACTCGCTACCTCCGAGCCTCGGGCACCCCCGCCGACCTCTCGACCCTCTCCCCGGGGCCGGCCGCTCCTCCCGATCCATTTTTGACAGCCCCAGGCTCCGAAGGAGGCCCACGGGAGCCGAATAGAGAGAGAGAGAACAAAAAACAACAAAAAGAAAAAACGGTCGGAACGAGAAGAACAGAAAACAGCATCAAGCATGATTCATCGGAGGTCCGCCCGGATTTCTCCGATCCGCGCCGGACCTCCCTCCCTTGCGCGCGAAGCGCCAAGAAATCTGCACGGAGCGTCGAAGGTGTATGAGTACGTAGTTCTCCCTTCTTCGATACATGTTCGAGTCTCTGGAGGTCTGGGTAGTCGGCGCCCTCCAATCATTCCAACGACCCCGTCAAGAGAGCACGCAGCACGGCGGTGGGCGCGGGGC